TATGAGTTGTGAAAGTTAAGGCATTAATTTTTTTTTAAATGTAGATTTGCTTGATTTCTATTGACGGCAGCCCATATCATATTTAATTTGTTAAAGTATGATCATGATAAAGGCAAAAAATTATGGGATGACATTTTAAACATTTTGGGATACCGAATTTTAAAAGCAGGTTCTATTTCTTCAACATTTCGCAGAGGATCAAAGGAATTAACTCGTGATTTTGGAAGAAAAGTAACAGGAATAAAAGATATCTCTAAATGTAATATTTATGCATCAATAATGAATGAAAATAATAAAAAAGCATTTTCTTTGCATGTTGATTATAGAGATCGATGAACTCCTGATCTTATAATCAATTTAATCCACCATAAAAAGAGTAAAAGATGGAACCAGTGGCCACATAAGGGTTATCGATTTAAAATTTGCTGGATTGTTGTTGGAAGACCAATAGATATTGATTTTGATACTGTAGAATCAGACTATCCAGTAATACTTAGAAGTTATAAATATAGCAGTTTTGAAAAGAGAGAAACGTCATGAAAATTACTATTGATGATCTTAAAGATGTTGAAAAACTCACTGAAACATGTATATTAAGCACTTGTGTATTAGAACCAAGTTTAGAGATTGAACCGATTGACAGGATCAAGCCTATCAATGTTGGTACTCATTTCTCACCTAATAAAGGGGTTGCATGTCTTTTTGCATATGATAGTAATGGAGGAAGCTTCATTGATTCGAATACATTGCAAAGATTTGCATTACATTTTTGGTATGAAATGTTTATTTATTACCTATTTTTTTTACTTAAAATTATTTTAACATGTTTACTTTACATATCAGTGTTGTTGATCTAGATTTAACTTACGATGTGTATAGAGACAAATGTCTTAATTTCGGACAAGCAGGTATTAATTGGCGAGAAAGCAACGTAAACCGAAAATTATCTTACGGGGTGTGACTTCAGAACATAAGAATAAAATTCATCCTGAAAACCTAGTTTTGTAAATCACATAACATATTGTTCTGCTGATGATGATTGCAAACATCATGACTTTATCAATGCTAAAAATAATATACACGAAATTATTTATGGATCGTTCAATTCACGTTGTATGAATTGCAAAGAAGGTTGCAATGATTGTCGTATGGGAAGAATTGCCTATCTTGAATTCCCTTGCCATCAATGTAAATAATTGAATTTCGATTTTAGTGTTAGTTAATATTTAGAGATAACTTACGTAAGTGATTTACAGTACCACTATCTTAGTAAAAGATTTTGGCTATTAAAGGCATTTCGAAAAATTTTATATATTAATAGTAAATTTCTACTAAAATCTTTTTTTTTGAACAAAACTTGTTTAACTTTTGAACAAATCCTTTTTTTACCCTTTCTCTTCCTTCTGGAGGAAAGAGGTAATTTAGACAGAACAAAGTTGGACTGACCTAATCACTGATCATCAATGCCATAATGAAATATCGTAGCAAAGAAATTTTAAATTGAAATTATTCAAAAATTACTATGAAGCATTACTAAGACTTGATTTTGAGGAGCCTGTCAACGAAGTGACAGGGCGACCATTATTGTGAGGTCAAATGACCTATAATCTTTACTTATCGTATTTTGGTTGGCCGATTGTAGGATCGTAGCTGTTGCTTGATATTTCTTGTTAGATGCAGGTTTTTTTATAATGATTTTATGAGCGCATATGCTTTTGGTAGACAGTATTAGTATGATAATTATGGAATGTCAAGGGAATTCAGGAGTAAATCATATGGTTATAGGCGTAAAATCAGAAGGAAGGAAAATTGGTGGCGTCCTGTCAGTGAGGGATATTTAAGGGCATAGTGGTTATTATAGGAGGTTATCTTTCTTTTCGCTATCGCTCGCCTCGTAGAAAGGCTGGCTCTATCGTTTCCCTCCCATTTCCCACCCCCTTTTGGAAATGATGACGTCATAGCATGTTTTTTTGTCAACCTACAGGATATAGTAGGTATTTACAGGCTCCGCGGCTGCAATGGCAGTGCAAGGAACACCAAGAATGTATTTGGGCTCCGCGGCTGTAGTAACAGTGCAAGGACCCTGTAAATCATATGGAGGCTCTGAAGCTGCAGTTGCAGTGCAAGGGCCTTTATAGTATAATCTGGCTCCACGGCTGCAGGTGCAGTGCAAGGACCACTAAAAGAAAGTTGAGCTTTATAAGCAGCAACCCCTTTTCAAGATAAGTATATAACCGATTCTCTTTATAGCTATACTGTCTTTTACCAAGCCTTTCTCACACAAGATTTAGTGTTTGTGAGATAGGATTTATGATTTGTTTCTCCGGGCTTGGCCCAGAAGGTATTGGTTTGAACTGATGTTTTGTTAGGGCTATCAGTGCAAGTTCCAGGATACCTTTGTGACAGATTAAGATTGTTTAGTTGGAATAGTAATGTATTATAGAAGGGTAGAATCTTGAACTAGAGCCTGTAAACATAGCGAACAGATTCCCATATGTTTTTCAATAAAGTCATTTGATTGAACAATAATAATGTAATATTACATGTGTTATCAATAAATACCATTTTATAAATATTCATATATAATATCATTTTATAAATATTTATATATAATACCATTTTATAAATATTTATATATAATATCATTTTATAAATATTTATATATAATACCATTTTATAAATAATTATATATAAATTAAAATGAGGCGACAGTGGACTCAGAACGGTACGATGTAAAAAAAATGAATAGAACTCAACTCGAAAACAAGGCAAATTTCTAATTTCAAATTTCCAACCAATCTATGTTTAATTTTATATAAATTTCAAGTTAACAGTATTTTAATCCCTTGTCCTGTCTTCGTCAATGTTTCAATTTTTAGATTGAAAAGTTGCATTTAAAAAATAATATACATTTTATTTAAGAGCTTAAAAAAGATTATCTTAATAAAATTTTGGTATTGATATTTTTAAAATTTTAAATTTGTCCAAATCTACCCCAACTTCAACACTACGCTAAGGATTACGATAAGAATTTAAATATGACAAATGAGGAAAAACCTGTAAGCAAAATTTTATTTGGTTAATGATTTGGCACTGGGGGCGTGGCTATTCATAGTGTATGACAAATAACCATTTATTACATAACCTTTATAATAAATTATTATTTGTCATATCCTATTATAGGTCACGCCCCAGTCCCAAGTTGTTAAGACCGGCATAGTGTGATTAATTTTACGAATAGAATTTACTTACAGGTTTTCTTTGTGCATCACTCAAATCATGTGACGGGATACATGTTGTCATACAGTAAAATGTACGCAAATAAAAAATCTGGGACAGGTTATACAAATCTCCGAATTATAAATCCGACATTCAATACGAATTTCGAAAAGCA